CTTCCTTCTGAAGATCCTGTGAGCAGTGCTTCAAAAGATTTGGGCAGACACACCTGCGGTGTGCTTTGTAAAATGAAATGTCGATTGAATAATTGAATTTATTATACTTTTAAGTGGTTTGTTTAATCCTTTGTCGGCTCCGCAAACGCTGGCTGTTCTGATTTCTCATGTTCAATGACATCGCTCAACTCGTTCTTCTGGTTTGCTGTCGTTTCGACTCTTTCGAGTCTTCCAAAAATTGGCAGGGAGGTTACAAACTTGAGTGGGACTCAATAGTCCAACTTGACAGTAACCGAGGAAAATTTGAAAACCTTGACTTGATTTCTGCCCGGACAGGACAAGTACGAGTTAGACCTCACCCAGAGGTCCATCCCGCTCCCTGGAACGTGGCTGAAGCCATCGAACGCACCCTGTTAGTCATGCGTTATAGATCGTGCGTCGTATAGGCGGCGGTGGCAGTGGGAGCCCGAACTCTCCGAGAGAGGAGCGGAGAAAGGCGCTCTACATTGCAGTTTTATCGTGACTTCCAGTCATGCCGTTCGAGAGGTGGCTAGAAGAAAACAAAAGCCTTGTAAAGGAGTAAAAGGAGACATTATTTACATACGGGGAAGTAGACATACCGATAGCATAAGAATCGGAATGACGAAGTGATATCGGAAATCGAAATCTAACTTATTGGTGAAAAAGTATTGGTTAATCTCAAGCAGGAGGATGAAAAACGAAGAATAAAAAGAAAGGGCTTTGACAAACCGAAGTAACACTTGGGAGGATGTGTATTTGCAGTAATAGTGAGGGAATCGGGTCATACCTCTTTTTCTACATAGGTTTCCTTGACTTCAATGCACGTTTTTCCGATGTTTCTCGGAACGTTCGTCGTACTGTCGAGAAAACGAATTTCGGATGCATCTATAACCGGTTTTGCACTGTAAAACGGCGTGTTCATCAGTTGTAAATCTTCCCGTCAAGCGCAAGGATCCAAATCATGAAAGTTCCTCGCGATCAGGGTGGGTTTATGTATTGGATTTTAGAGCACATTGAATCCTTACCCCGATTTGACGTCAGTGTTACCAAACTGTGGTGGAATTGCAAAAGTTTCTTCACCTGTTGACTCCTCTTCCTGCCACAGCAAGGGCCGAATAAACAAATTAGGGGCTTTTATGAATGCATGGCGCATCTCAAAAATGTTGGTAAAATCAGTTCTCATTTAACCTCTTGATTTCTAAGCTTCTGGAATGCATTCAGAAAATCGCATCGTTCAAAGCAAAGATCAGTGAATTCAACCTTACTTGTGTTTTTTCAAAAAACATCTCAGAAATTGCATACAGTGAACCTATAAAGTAATCTTTTGAAAATTGCCTCACCTTCTCCAGTATAACCCGATTTAATGATTGTTTTAAGGTATATTACACTGTTTTCCCAACAATTCGGTTCATCATTCCATCTGGCAGATGCTCTGGCACAATTCGATCCGCCCAGCACCCTTGGCGAATACTTGAATTCTCGTCAGCCGTTAGCTGACCAGCAGAACAAGGCCAAGGTGATCGTGGCTCTTCTACGACACCAGCTCATTATGCAAGTGAGCTCCAATTCTATTGTTTAAAAGGGGTAGAACTTGACCTGGCGTGAACACCATCGTAGGTTTTAACTCTCTAGTGAGAGTTGTGAGAGAGCGAGAGGGTTCCTTACTTTCGAGGACAGTTGGCTAGTTTGACAGATTCATTCTGGTTCTGTGAATTTGTAACAATCCATAGTGAAGGCAAGTTTTCGTTTTTATTATAGGTGTGGTGTGTTCTATGCGAAAAATAGGCAAAATTATCACCAAGTACGATTGTGATGCTGTCTGCGGGCTTCAGGGAGCATCAGGCCAATTAGTCCATCGGCAATCTCGTTTCTGGGATGCGCTCCCGCATCCGACTTCTATTCGGAATCGTAGTGAAACTTTGAATGGTATTTGACTTTGCAATATCTTGCACTAGCCAGCTGAACGGGTCAGTGCTTTTATCTTCTAAGCCGAGTCTGGTATCAATCAAACTATCCCGGAAGGATTTTCTTTGGGCGGATTATTGATATTGTATTCGATCCCTGGAGCATGCAGACGATATTGTGCAGCTTTTGCCGCTACACCACCAAAGAGTTGATAACATTTCAATGAGTTTTATCAGTAGTAGCGAGTAATTGTTGTTACTAAGCGAGATCACAGGCTTGTCGAACAGTCCGATTGGAAAGACAGCAGTTTGAAGGCACTGCTGATATCGGGAATTCGAAGATTCATCAATGAATTGCTGTTTGATTTCAGCTACACCGCTTCTGCTACATCGTGCCTCCATTTTCGGATGCCAAATTACCACGTGCTGGTCATCATTGTCCTGACTCTTTGAAGGTTTGTTGTTTATGAGAGGCAAACGACTACAGGGTTTCCCGTGCATCGTTATCTACCAAGAGTATTCTGAAGATGATTTCCTTTTTTCTCACCCGCGATTATAAATGAATAAAAGCAGTAGAAGTTCTTTGAGTTTGCAAATCGACTTGGCAGTTTACAAAGTCGGGGAAAGAGGGGAGGAACTGGACACTTGATTTGACCAATTCCAAGTAGTTCTTCCGCTTCAGTTTGGATTTTTCGAGTTTCATTCTCAAAACTGTGGGGAGGTTTCATTTTTTTCCGAGAGCGAAAAAGACCAAGCGTCTTGTTCCCATTGGTTCGCAAGAACAGTCACAGCGCTAGAAGCCAACTACTAAGAGAAAAATAGGTGCTCTAAGAGAAGCCTCTAACAGGGCACTTAGAGATGAAAAGGTTGTGCTGATTAATCAATTAGACTACTGAACTCTGGAGACGCTTTATCGGGTGCCTTGTGAACATTCTCTTTTATAGTCACTTTAAAACTTGCCTTTTAGATGGCGATCACTGCATGCGAAACATTGGGTGAACAGTTCAAGCCAATAGTTTCCGACATATGTGGAAGTATGCTGAACACGCAGAGTTTCTGTCATGTACGTTCATTCTCATTTTAGAGCATTGCTTTCGTTGAAAGTGGTTCCAAGTGAACATACGCCAGTTAGAATGTGACTTGCGCTCGAATTTATATCAGTACTGAGTGGATCCTAGTCGGTGTTCTATACTTGAAATCCATTCTAACTATGATGGAGTGGAGGTCTAGGTAGGTTCAGTGTGTCTGGCCTGGCCTGATGATAACCGAGAATACAAAGTGTGATAGGCAATGTGAGAAATAAGGTCAGAATTGTGTGAGTGGTTCAGGTTGAGCGAAAGTTGAATCTGTTCCTTCGCATGACCGCCTACATGCATGGTCTCCATCATATCGAAGACATGGTGTATCGTCTTAATGTGGTTCGTTTTCATTTTAAATTTTACTTATTTGCTTTATTGACGCATACAACACATAAGCTCAAAACGGTTGACTAATAGGGTCACTATCTAATTACTAATGAGTAAAGGATAACAGGGTAAAGTCTTTGGGCGTTAAATTAATCCCGTCTAAGGGATGCACCGCCGCATTTGATTCCCACTCAGAGTCGTAGCGGTGTATTGAATGTGTATGTGACCTATACCAATTACTTGCGGTGGCCAACGGTTGTACATGTCAGTGTTTTATCCTGTCAGGTACCAATAGACCAATTCCGGAGGGATAAAGGCTTGGTTGGTCTAGGTGAATATCTATCTGGGATTCGAACCCGTAACCATGCATGTGTGCTAGTACGCCACATGCCACTACAACATCTCCTCTCTTCTATGGTAAAGTAGTCCTTAATGTCAGTTAGAATGGGTGTCCGCTTCAATAACCGAAGAAAGAAAGTTGGGTTGATACAACATTCTAACAACAGGTTAATAGAACTTTTGAAGACCAACAGCTTACTAAACTTGGTTCTCGGTGTGGATTGTTAAGAGAATTGGATAAGACAAATTTTCTATTCAATTTTATTACTNCGGTGTATTGAATGTGTATGTGGCCTATACAATTACTTGCGGTGGCCAACGGTTGTACATGTCAGTGTTTTATCCTGTCAGGTACCAATAGACCAATTCCGGAGGGGTAAAGGCTTGGTTGGTCTAGGTGAATATCTATCTGGGATTCGAACCGTAACCATGCATGTGTGATAGTACGCCACATGCCACTACAACATCTCCTCTCTTCTATGGTAAAGTAGTCCTTAATGTCAGTTAGAATGGGTGTCCGCTTCAATAACCGAAGAAAGAAAGTGGGTTGATACAACATTCTAACAACAGGTTAATAGAACTTTTGAAGACCAACAGCTTACTAAACTTGGTTCTCGATGTGGATTGTTAAAAGAATTGGATAAGACAAATTTTCTATTCAATTTTATTACTAACTTTATGCAACTGTTCTCGTTAAATCAGTAAGCAGTGACGGATAAGCTCTGTAACGAGTTTAGCACCCTCTCCAAAAGAACAGATTACTTCAGTGGGCGTTTTTGAGAATCGCTCTCCCTATCACAAATATGGCAATGGCGTTGTTTGCCCTTGCCCTCTAAGCCAGAAAATATTTCAGGAACGTGAAGCCATTGAAGAAATCCTTGATTCGTTCGCCCTCGTTGTGTGCACATTCCGTCGGCCAGACTTCATCGCCGAATGAGCAGTCTCATAGTTCAGCAGCGGGTGTCTTCAGTGAGCGCTATTCTCTAGTCGTATTTATTTGTCATTAGATGATATGAAAGCGACAGAATTGGCCAATTGATGTTTCAATGAATAGACCTCAGTTAGCTTGCTTTCATTAGAAATTACCTTATTAACAAAGTGTACGTTGTTATTTTGAATGTTTTGCCCAAATAAATGTGCCCATTGCTCACAGAACGGGTTGTACAGATTATTATTCTGTCATGTGTGAAATAAAATATTTGTTTGGGAATTTTCGTGACTGTTCTGTTTATCATTACAGTTCAATACCTCAGCTGTTGTTTGATCCCTTATCCATATTGCCCTAATCCGAAATGATAAGTTCAGGGTGAGCGGCGGAATCCTAAGTGGAATGTCTCGGGAGGATGATATGGAGGTGGAACGATTTCGTACGGTAGTTTCTGATCAATTGCTAGGCCAGCTCAAGGAGGCGAAGGATGATCGACAAGAAATTCTTCGTGAACTCCAAGAATATGCAGCACTACTGGTTGTCATACATAACATGCAGGTACGTAGTTCTGTGAAGACCTTTTTCATTTTTGGACAATTTTATTTAATATTGTTATTTTTTTTAAATTATAATTTTTATTATTTTTGACTACTTCATTTAATATTATTGTTTTATTTTCATTTTATTATTATTTTCATTTTTTTGACTTTTCATTCATTATTATTATTTTATTTTTAATTGTTTTTCGTTGCATCGCGACTGAGTTCTCCATCTGCTATGTACCTAATCAGACATTGAACTGCTTTACTAACTGCTTGTATCCCCAGTTCGTAATACCGTTAATAAAATTGGATTGACCGTCTTGATGCCCTTCCCCACAGTATTTGATAGAGCATTACAAGGGGCTAATGCAAAATTTCTAATCTGCTGGGCACTCTAGCAGCTTTACAAATAATAAGAATGTGGCTCGTAATTTTAACATCAAAAGCAGACTTCACACTTGGAATATTTCAGAACAACAAGGCCGACAAAATCAATATCAGAGCATCACTTGGACATCAAGTGTTCGTGAATGCTGAACTGTAAGTTTATAAACTTTTGAAATCGGATAAAATTAGTCCTAACCTCTTGGACCAGTTCAGTGGACGATTTGCACCTAATTTCGGAGTGGTGCACTATCACACATGCACGGTCTGGAAATCGCATCTGGATCGATACTCGCCCGATTACTAAACCTTCCATTCCACTAGACTCGGTTAATTAGGATCGTACTCATTTGGGAGTATAGAAGTACTGAGCTGTACATCGGCTGGTCACAGCAAGTCATTCAGGCCACATATGCAGTGAAAACATCACCACGATTCTGAAGGACAGTCGGGTGCAGGGCGCATCCCACGGACGGCATTGATCAGAGCTGAAGTCCTTTCATTCTCCATCAAAAAGGGGCTGGAATACCGAAACATTTTGGGTTTTGGCTTTAAGTAATGCACAAGCGATCATTGAAACCCTGCGGTCATCATCATTCCATCAACGTTCGGCAGTACCCCGTCTCTTTACTGCTGGAGTACTATGTTCACTGATTTTGATGAGTGCAGCAAACGACTTTGTATCATTACGTATTCATTTTTAGGAACCAGGAATTTCGAAAATTCAAGTTTTTTAAGTTACTTTATAAAGAACTGTTGTTTGGTTCCCATTTTCCGAGGATGTGGTGAGCCTCGAAACAGCACTGTGGAGAAGTATTTTCAGTGACAAGCGAGACACGATCATCGTCAAACTCTGTGGTGACTTATTTGCTGAATTGAAGCTTGAACGCGCCGAGATATTTGTCACGGAGAAATTAGATGTAAGGTCTACTCGCATTGATTTTTTTCGGACTCTCATTTTCTTTTTCCATGAGACTTTCAAGGTTACTTACCTCAATTTCGCTCAAGTCGGTGTCTTGTAAATTTCCATCGTAATAATTTCAACTGTTTACAGGTCCTGAGAAAAAGAGCTGATTTCTGCCTCGAACTAGTGAGCAAAATTGAAGCAACGATGAATTTCATTATGGCTGCAGTAGGTGAATATGACAAATTGGCGAAAAAAAGATAGTTTATGAAGTTGTTATTCATTGTTTTCGGTGCCATGTACAGTGTTATTCTCTGTAAATAAAGTTGTTGCTTTGTATTTTGTTCTGTTTTTGTGAAATGGCTTAAACGCTACAGAAAATATCTCGTGAAGGCAATGTCCATGTTTTTTTTTTCAATGGAATATCACTTCAGAATCTCAAAAGAATTCCAAAGATGCTCAAGCATTTTGAGAGTGCGGTGGAGTCACTGTGTTTTGAAAAATAAATTTTGGTTTGGAACGATTCTTTTGGGAGTGTCACTAACCCTGTTTCCTTCCAGAGTCATGAATGCACTAGAAAACACCATCCTGTTGCAGGTAGTGCCTACGTGCCTTGGAGGCACGGTTGGTACAGGTTTTACCCTTATCATTACTGGGAACCTCTCTGTTCTTAGACTACTCAATTTCATGAGTCCCTTCACCTGCCATATTTCCACTGCTCAACCTAGGGCTCATACGTATATCACGTACAGAGCCTTGGCTCCTGCAGAGGTCATCACAAAAAAATGAACAGATCTATAGCCGTTGATTGAGCCCTATGAAAGGCAGTATTCGAAAAAAAACAAAAAAAAGGTTAGCAAATAACTAGGATGTGTAGGGTCAGAGCTCTTCAGAACTGAACCGATCCTATTCAAATTTCTTTAATGGAGAAATGTAATTTCAGCGTTTTTAGCTGTGCAAAATATGGCTCCTGGGAACCATGTCAAGGAATCTGCCGTTCGTTCGCTCATAACAATTGGATGTCGTGATAATGCCAAACCAAAATCCATCGATCCTAAGGCAATACGATTGCTGACAGCTTTGACGAACGCGCTCACTACGGTAATTGCTTCTGCCCTTGAGAAAAAATGTGTTAGGTTGAAACCGATGACATCATTTTTTTGTCGCTAGGAGAGTTTTGTAGTGCCTTCAGGAAACTTCAAAGGCATTTCATGATCACTAGAACCTTATCAGGGTGAGAGACCCCACTGTTCTGTAATAAGCTGTTACTGATTGAAAACTGCAGAATAGGCCTTAGTTGCCTTGAGCGGGATCGATCTGAACTGAAGTTTCTTCTGAATGGGAGTCGATTGCGGGCCGCATCCCATGGACGGGTTGAAGCCAAGAACTTATCCTTTCAATCTCCATCAGACCCCACTGTTCTGTAATAAGGGGTGGACACTGGAACCAATGGCTGTACTCATCTGCTTTCACTAACAATTAAACGTGTACATCAATCAGTTGTGGAAGCCAAATATTCCTTTCACCTACGCAATTGATTCGGGCCGGGTTTTCAAGGTATTGCACATGAAACGAGAAGTACGAACTGAATTAGGTAGGGGATGTTTGAATGATCCCTGAATAATCAAAAGAAGACAAAAGTGATCAAAAGGCCATGGACTCGAATCCTCCTACCATCTCCTAGTGCTCAAAAGAGTGCGACTATGTGCTACACGTAGGGGTGACCTGTTCACGGGCTGAAATGCTATGGTATCATTTGGGCGTCGTTAAGAGCTGGCGCCGAGGCGGCACGCCTGTTTCTTCCACTGACAATGAGCTGATTTTGACCAGATTAGCGAGACGGACCTGAGTGTGTCCATTTAATCATTTTCTCTTAGGAAACACTATTTCGAGCTGCACAACATGCCAGACGGGAAGGACGATCACTGGTGACCATAAGTGATTTACAGCATATACTTCCTAGCATAATGCTAGATTTTTCTGCTTAGTTCACTCGTAATGCAGATCACTTCGATATCAGATCTTACACTCGTATTCTCTTATGTCTATTTTCTCATGTTGTAACGGAACTTGATATTTGACATCCTTTATGTGACGAACATTGTTATTACTGTGTACATGTATATGCGTAAATATAATCGGATTACTTGAGAAGGAAATTAATCCTCGGAAACAATTCACAACACGAATAAATTATCACTTAATAAATTCCAGCCAATAGTAGTTCGCTAGCGCCGTTTAACTAGCGTGGACTAGCTGTTCATTATAGTAAAAAATGATAATTTAAAGCGCAAACTGGTGTTGATGCATTTGGAGCGCCTCCCATTCAGCTTTGAAAGCTGCTTTTGGATCTTGCTGCGGTGACATGGCTGCTCCTGAATGAACGTTGACTAAGAAACGATCATGGAATCTCGCTAAAACCTACAGCTATAAAAAACTGTAAGAGTAAAAACTCAGGGGCTAAATCCATTTACAAAACACTATGCTTGAGTCTTACCACTCATTTGATCCTCCATAGCTTTTGACTGATCTGCCGCATTTTCTTCACCTAACACCAATGTGTAGATCGACCTCAAGCCAAACATGCAGAGAAAGTACCACGAGGCAGATGATACCTGATATAAGAATGACACAAGGTTAGCTAAGAACCACAAGACGCGCTGCCGCAGTTATAAGTACGAATCCAATCTAGGAGTCTGAAGGTTGACTTTTCTACTCCCTACTTCGAATAAGATCAGATAGAACCCCTGGCTAGTCATTTCAACTGCGATTTCCCAGGCTCAATTACACTGAAATACGGCTCCCATAGAGTCTGACAAGCATCCCATTGATCGAGCCACGTACCCAAATAACATTCGCCCATGAAGCAAACGCACCTCCATTATGTATAATTCGTGCCCATTGAATGAACTACTGACATGCGTCCACGTAAAAAACACCTTTAGCCCCAGAATCAATTCTCTGAGAGTACTTAATAAAAATATGACGTTAAACGTACCCATGCCGAATCCAATGAAACTAGATCGACTCCTCGTTGTAGCATAGCCTTGAACTTAAGAGTCAAAGGAAAAGGAACCCGTGTAGTGACAAAGCCCGAAAATGTCCAGTTGATCCATCCTCCAACAACAATCATGGGGATCTGTAAAAGTTAGGTTTCACCCACCTAAGATTACAAATGTTCTCATAACTCTACCATGTTCATCATATTTCCTTTCAGCATTTCCGTCATTTGACTCGGATCCATCGGATTTGGACCTTTACTTGGACGTTGCATGGCTTTCGACAAATAGCCTCAAAAGTGCACATAAAATGACCTCATCAAATGCCCTCCTGATAATTTTAGTAGCAAGCCTTACCGTGGTCTTCAGCCGAAAGGAAATTGCGCCTAGCATTAAAGGACGATCTCGGCAGGAATCGCCCATTCTCCCGTAACAACCGAGAACGAAGTAAATACTGACCATCAGCCACATTCTCCAACTCCACCTATAAATCACCTCTATCACAAAAATTTAATGAGAAAGTAAGTTCCAAAGATGTGTAATAAAAACGGATATTTTAAAAATCCATCAAAAATGGCACAATATAGGGTAAATTCTTACATGAACACCTAGCATACTATCGTCACTCACGAACATCTAAAAGACTATCGAACTCATTTTCGTATATTTTTTTCTGTTCTCATAACAATGTATCCGACTTGTTTTTGAAGTGATCGGTTACTTCTATTACAGTCTCTGTATTAACAGCTTCTGCGGAAATTGCTGTTTGACAATTGACAAATTGAATTGCTAATCGAAGAATACTTAAATGATGCTGTCCGCAAAGCTCGTTGCCAGTGTTCTGAAAATTGGCGAAGGAGAAAAATCAAGAAAGGATTCAAGCCGGTGGAAGCTGCTACCCATTAAAATTTCATGATCTTCCCCTACCCTTTCGCCCACGTCCATCTTTCATTATTCGTGCGCTAAACCACAAAAACGTTCTCTTGTAGAAATTGCCAATATAATATATAGCGAAAACGCACAAAAATCCACTCAGCTTCTGGACAAGATAAAATTATTGAAGTCGACAAAACGCCTTACCTTTTTCTTGCTCATAAGCAAAAGCGAGACATAGTGACGGAGTACGCCGATCATAAAAGTTATGACCACAATCGGCAGGAATACCCAGGTACGGATTGCTGGATCCAGAAGCAAATCCGTCATTCTACAAGAAAAAGCCTTCAAACAATGCGAACGGCACATACACCTTTAGCTGTATTACGTTTTGATTCATTCAAGAATATAAAAACAAATCCAAAACCTAGGAAAATGATAACCGAAGAAAAAAATAGAGTATAAGTTTGTTGCATAAAGAGATTTCACAAACTGTGATGTAAAACTCCTTGCCTCAACGTCTACACGCCACGTCATATCCTGGGGAACAATTAATGATGCTTGCTTACTAACTAGAACCAATATTTTTAAAAACAACATCAAGATTATAGCATTTAGTTGCGCTGAACCCTATTGACTTCCTGATCCCACTAATTGTGATCGAAATTTGTTGATGGAATTGTTAAACATCTCCCTAAGCCAAGGACTAGGAGAATCATAAAAGGGAATACCACTCCACGCTGTTCCGCAAAGTTGGGATCTGATGTTAGGCGATAGGTTGAGCTAGCGGCAAAAACACTCAGGAATTTCCATTCCTCTTCTGTCTTTATTAGCCGCTTTCAGACTTCAATGACGCAACTGACGACCGTCCGTCCGTGTGTGCGTCCAGCGACGGTGATGCTGGCCAGTTGTTGACAATACTGGCACGTGATCCATAGGCGTCCAGTGTTGTCAATACAAAGCCAGCAACATCGTCAGTCGGTCGGTCGTCGGACGTACTTACAGACGTACGGTCGTCGGTTGTGCCATTGAAGTCTGACAGCATCCATTGACAAATAGGTTATTTATGCGGTATCAGGCATAATATGTTGATCTCTTCCGCGAAGAGCATCAAGAATGAATCAAACATGAAAAAGGAACCAAAAAATACTATAAGTAAGGTAAGTACAGAAACAAATCGGCTCAAAACCAGAATGCGACAATAAATATATTTATTTTGTACATACATCAGCATTGCGTACAAGCTACTTCTTTGAAGACAATTCTGATACAGCTTTGCACGGTGAAAAAGTAAACAAGGATCAACATTGATTCAAACATTGACTGTCTAGAAATGCGCTACGTCATGGTTATTCCAATGCCACCTACGATTTTGACTTTAAAACACAAAATGAGGGTTATTTCGACAGTAATCATGATTTTGATTCTAAAGAACAATATGAGGCAAATTTAGGCGAAGAACTGGAAACAGGCTAGGCTCCACTGTGGATAGGGTAGGTAACCTTCAATCTGAGGAAAGATTTGAAAGAAATCTCACGTACAAGTCCAAAAATACAAAAACTTCTTTCCCCAGCTTTGTCAGCTTGCCAGCTAGCAACAATAGCAATATGACAGACTTGAAAATCGTTAAAACTGTTCTGGAAAGAATTGAATGGGCACCACTTTGGACAATTGCGTACTTAAAAGTCGTTAACAACTATATAAATCTTTAAATGACCAATTCAAGATAATGTAAAAGCTAGCTGTAAAAAAACACAGCAGAGATGAAGCCCTATATTGTAAGCCCCTTGAAGAGCTCGAATTCTTTTGGTCACAATACTCAGCTTGAACCGATATGGATTTTTTTCGCATGTAACAAAAATGTAGACATAGTTGTCACGAGAAACACCCCCATTGATTGGGAAAAGACGAGATTTTGAACGAGCTTATGCATAAGACACTTTCCCGATAGGACGCGCACAGTAATCAGATCACAGCAAGTCAAACTAAACAATGGACAGACAGCTCATTTAGCTACGTGATTAACTCAAAGAGGTTGGCACATGAGAGCAAGGATCACCGTGCATGTACTCGACACACATCGATGATATCGATCATCGTGCAAGTACTTAGCAAATGTCGCTACCACTGGCAACACTGCTGCCAAGTTGACCCAATTGTCGTCGAACCCCCAGCACCAAGCCGGAAAGTCTCATTGCTGCTGAAATGAATTCTATTCTGTCAATCGCACATAATACTTATTGAAGCACAAACAACCTTTTCACTGGAAATCGGTCAACAAATCGGAGAATCAGAGGAAGAAGAAGACACCGTCTCAAATGAAGCGAAAATTAAATGACTGGAACTTACGCGGGGTCCCGATGCACTCCCTGATCGTATTGACGTTTCAAAATTGTAGCCAACTCCACAAAAGCAGCATCAACATTAACATTGCTTTTAGCGCTTGTCTCAATCATCAAGAGCATACCTAACAGAAAAAGGTAGAACCACTGATCCTAATTCAAAACAGATACAGACAACGCAATGTAAAAATTGTAGGGGGGGATGCACGCAACCGTGCTGAATAAATAAAGCAATGCTCACCGTTGGCTCTTTGTACCAATTCACCTTCTTCTTTTTCAACAACTCGCTGCTCTTCAAGGTCACATTTTGTGGCTGTAAAAATAGGAAAATCATAAAAAGGTAATTGTTGACAATACAAAAGCGGAAAAAGGATAACAAGTGCACCAACCAACTAGCAACTTCACAACGTTCGGTGCAGCGAACTTCGAGACATCGTCAATCCACCTAAACATTCGAATAGTTATAGGCTTTATAAAAGGCTGACGCATATTTGAGAAACATGAAGAATGACTCAAGAAAAAGAAAATCTAGAAGACAGGAGGCACAAGCGGTGTACAGCGAAATGGTTTTGTAAGTAATGGAGATAGGAAGGAAAGTGAATCTTTATTCCCATTATGATGGCAAAACTTTAATAATCAATAGCCCCTATACCAAAAGCGCGTTTCTCTATTACTGAAACCTCCACATTGTTCAAAGCATAGGCTATTTGGGCCTTTTTTAAAAATACTTTCAATCCACATGGAAATCTCTCAATTAGCCTTCAGCATTTAATTATGCCCTTGCCGTTTTTATCGCAACTTTTTNTTTTTGCCATGGCAACCATCCGAAAGGAAATTAGGAAATAACCGCACATTACCTTTGCAAACTGTTGAAGGACTGTTTGCAGGTGATGTCATAGCACAGGACAATACCGTTTGCCGATCGATAGTATGACTGAGTTATAGTACGGAATCGTTCCTGGCCACCAGTGTCCCAAATTTGTAATTTAACACGCTTTCCATCTGAATTATTTATTAGAAGCAAAGTCGTTTCCTCTCCAAAACATTCACTTGATACAGTGTTAAGTGAAAAGCGGAAGCAACAACACTTGAGAGGTTATCGCGTTTCGGGATGAAAAATAACTTGTACTAAGTTATCAATATTAGTATTACACTGACTTTCGTCTCTGCTTCTTACAAAACCTCAGAACAACAACAGCCGATTCCACTCTTACCTCCATGTTCTAACGAAACGAAGGAAGTCGTTGAATTGCCTACGGTGACTAAGTGCTCACCTATAATTAAAGTTTTCATGGTGAAATCCACGCCTATCGTAGTTCCTTGTCTATCAACATATGTCCCATTTCGAAAGCGCTGCACCACACATCTGAAAGTAAAGGAAACGATGAAATCAATATGGAGAGGCACGAAGTTATCTTTAAACTTCTAAAAATTTTAGAAAAAGCTACGATGTAACGCAATCGCAGTCTTTGATAAAAAACAAACATAAACAGCAGCATATATGTGTTAGAAGAGAGAAATACTTAAACATTCACAGAAAATGGCAAAAGTTAAAAGGTACGAAGAAAAATGTAATGAATCTCATAATTCCGAACTTACGTTTTGCCTACTCCCATGTCCCCAATAAGCACAATTTTGAACAGATAATCAAAGCCATCATCTCCATCCATTGCGAGTTTAGTGCTGGCGAGAATATGTACCAGTTAAATACAAATAATCATGAATGAATTTCTTGTCCTGAAACGAATATTTATGTTGTAACACTCTAATAACGTATCATTTCAGCCAAATGTAATGAAGCTGCGCGCTATAGCAGCCACATGAGTGAAAATCGCAGCAATATCGAACATTTGCTTCGTTCTTCATCGTTGTACACTAAGCGGCAAGACATTGTAAGTATCGAAGAGGGCGCAAAGAACATGTTCAAACATTGGTACACGACGCCTTATTACGTCTAGAGACGAGCACCGTAACCGAAAATAAGTAAGGGCACGTAAAAGGCGACAACGATTACAGCTGTAAGTGGGTAATTTATCCCAAGCCGCCTCATCAGCACTTAGCTAAGGGCGTATGTCGACCAATGCAGTCGATGGATGGGTTCTTAATTAGCTCAATAATATATGCAGAACAGAACAGCGACGAGGAATCGGCATACCCATGCGTTGAAAAACAAGGTCTTACTCATTGGAATTCTGAACGCTGTACCTTCTAATATAGTCGGCAGTGAGCACTACATCCTTTACAATCAATGAAGTGGGTTTTGGGGGGAGAAAAGGACACGAGCCGCCTTCTGGAGAGCAATTTATGGGATCCAGAAGTAACAAAGAAAACGAAACATACCCGGCAATCAGCCGGCTTCATTGATTCTGCAAATTTTGCGTCCCCTGGATATCTCGAACAAAAGAAAGCACCCTGCCAAATTTGTCTAATGCGTCGGAGGCCGCCGTTTAGCGAGTCCCAGCCCCTTTATCCTATTGTGAGGAGTACAGAGCTGACACAAAAAAACCGAAACCGCGATTCACTTCAATTCCTTTAGTCTCTTGTATACAAATCTACAAAATGGCATAATTACTATTTCATTACGGTAATTTATTAAACTCAAACAATTCATTCGATATTAAGAACTTTTGGTGCTCAAAAAGTTGCATGGCTGTTTTCATGACAAAAGGCAGAGCAGTATGGTTGCAATTAGAATACGACAGAAGGACGCCCCGCCCTTTATTTTTCTTGTCATCTTAGTCAGCTGGAGAACGAAGTCTCTACACTAGACTTTCTATCGACCCTCTCCACAGCAGTATAGCACCACTCACAAATTATGAATAATTTATTGGCTACCGCCTGCATCATGGAGAGAGAAGAAATTCACGGCTGTGGCTCTCCATTGGCCCAACGGGATCAAGTTACGAGCAAAACTGAAAAAACAGGATACTTTGATGTTGGAATTAGTAGTGGATTACTATTGCAGGATAACGAAGTAACACGTACGTTACATTTGAGACAATGATGTCTTTTTTATACTTGTTCAAAAGTTGCGTTATGGTAGCCTCATAGGGAACTGAGTTATTCATCCGAATAAACGATACTACAGTAAAATAAATGACCACAACACCGTCTACGTCTTCTGTAATGGATCGGATTGAAAAGGTATTTTGGATAGAAAAAAGTAACAAGAAAAAAAAGGAAAAGCTCAATAAACCTTACTTGTCAGGTAGTTTCTCACTGATATAAGAGAGTTATGCAGAAATGACAAAATTGCATCATTAGGATGGAATTTAAGCATATTCAATTGATCATTAGTGCACCTGAAAGCGTTAAGGTGAAGAAAGCATTGAAGAGAAACCTTGCTCTGAGAGGTAATTGCGCATTTGAGGCCAAACGAAAGGAGGTTCTGATGAGTACAGCAAAGAGCAAGCTAAAAAGACGAGGCGAGGGAGTCAGAATGCTTAGAGGAAGGAAAACCACAACTCTCGT